CATCCTCCCTCTTGGTTCGATGGCTGGAGCTGGAGGCGCTCCTCCTCCCGGGAAGAAGCCGCCTCCCAATGGGGCTGGTCGGGCTGGGGGGTGCCGCCACCGGGTCCTGGCAGCGGACGGGGCGTGGTGCTGCCGGGTCCAGGTGCTGGCCGTGGAGCGCTGCAGGCGCCCGCTTCTGGTTCTGGTCGTGGTAGCGCGCCGAACACTCATGCCACTGCGGCACGCGTGGCTGCCGGGGGCCCGTGGGGAGGCCGCCGGCTCCGGCCTTGTTGCCTGGCGGGCGGGGAGGACTGGGCGGACCGGGCTCCAGTCTTCGGCCGCTTGCTCCGGGAGGTGCGGCAGTGGAAGTTGTGGGCAGGGGGCCGTGCCTACTAGGCCTCCTGTGCCTTCGGGTCCGGTCCTTAGACCGTCTCCTTTCGTGCAGGGCACTACGGCCGTGGTAGCGGCGGGCCGGGGAGCTGCGCCACCTAGGCCTCATGCCCCTCCTCCCCATGTCGTTGCTCGCCCGCCCGATTCTGCGCCTGCGCCCCGAGGTCAATGGGGGGATGACGGATACGATGCTTACGGGACTGGCCAGCACCGTGGTTCTTCATCCACGGGTGGTGGTCGTGGTTATGCCTGGTAGAGTGATGGGTAAGTCGAGAGGCCTTTCTTGGGCCCTTCAGGTGGCTTCGTCGAGGGGCTCTCGGATCCGGGTCATCGGCACCGACAGGGTTATCGAGGCTATCGAGGTGGTCGGGGAGGTCGAGGGGGCCGGTACCGTCCACGTCCTCCGCCACCACCTGTTGTTGTAGACCAGACAACAGTTGACGGGGCTGCCGAGGAGCCTCTTCTGCCTGGCCACGCTATGGAGGTGGTGACGGCTCTTGCTTCTATGCAGGTTCCTGAGAACGAGGTTATGACCGATGTGTCTACGGAGTTGACAGATAGGTCTGAGGTTGATAGGGCATCCAAGTGGTCGCGTAGGAAGGAAAAGATGCTTTGTTATCGTCGCGGTGGCAAGGGTCACTTCATTGCGGAGTGTGTGGCTATGTTATGTGATACCTGCGGTAAACTGGCACACGACTCTGCGGAGTGTCCGCTTCTGCAAGATCAGGCACCGTCACTCATGATGTATGGAGTGTACTGTGCTGAGTTAACTTTTTTTGAATCTCCAAATGAGCGAGAGGTTTCTGATGAATCCACGAGTATGACCACGGGGATAGTCAAGGTCACCAGAGGGGAGGTGTCTGAGACACAGATCATGCAGAGGCTCCGTGAGTTGGCCCCTGGGGAGTTTCAATGGGACCTTGTCAGCCTCGTTGATAGGATGTTCAAGGTTGAGTTTCCTTTCGTGGAGGATCTGCAGATGTTGTTGAGCTTTGGGATGTGTAAGGTGCCGAGAACGGATGGTATCCTTGAGTTTCAAGAGTGGAAGCTTGTTGAGCCTCAGGGCAAGCCGCTTACTCAGGCGTGGCTGCGATTCTCCGGGGCTCCCTCCAGGCCGCTGCAGGATGCTCGGGTTATGGCCACTATGTGCATTTTAGTGGGGAAGCCTGAGCATGTGGATATGGAATTCACCAGAGCTCATGGGATTGCTCGGGTTTTGGCTAGTATTTTGAACATTGAGTATGTACCGGAAGTGGTTAAGTGGGCTTATCGAGGCAGGATTTATGATCTGGTTATTGAGTTTGAGGATGAGAGCCTTCTGGTTGCGCCGGCTCATGACTCTGACGTGGATATGCACGAGGGTGATGGCGGTGCGGGAGTACGGGAGCCGCCGGTCGAGGACCCTGGACGACAGCTGTCCAAGGGGCCGGGGCCCGAGCTTGCGTCGACCGGGGATGGAACAGTCCCACCCACCGTGGTACCTTCGACGACTCTGAGATTTGGGTCTTTTGAGCATTCTTCTGCTCCCCCGAAGCTGTGGAGTGATCGGATCAAGTCCGAGGAGGCTTTTGAGCTCGAGTTACCGGCTTTGAGGTTGGAGGGTGCTGTGGACACGATTCCTGGGGGTCGGCAGGTGGCCACTCCCTCTCGTGCTCAGCACATGGTACCTCCGCAGGAGGTGACGCAGCTTGTTGTACCTGGCCTATCGGGTGGGGCCCTGGGGCAGGCAGCCTCGGGTTGCTATCCTTCTGCTGAGGAAGGGGATTCGGGGCAGGTGGCTCCCGTGTCCTTTTCTTCGCCGGGAGGGGGTCTGGGGCAGGGGGCCTCGGATACCTCCTCTCCCGTCGCGTCTACCTTTCGGTTGATGGCGGCTCTGCCTTCGGGAGAGGGCTCGGGGCAGGTGGCCTCGGAGCTTTCTCCTCCTTCGGCGCCTCTGTGGGTAGCTTCTCCGGTGCTGGGTGGGGAGCGAGGGCAGATGGCCCTTGTTCGGCCTCCACCACCCACCCTGCCAGCTTCGCCGGGCGGGGCGCGCCACAAGTCCGCGGTCTTCGTGAGTGCTTGCCCTCTCTCGGGCGAGGTTGTGGGTGAGCCCGTGCAGCTGGATCGGCCAGCTGGTTGGGGTGCGGCAGGAGGTCGGACCCCGACCGCGATCTCTCGGGAGGAGGTTATTGCGTTTGGAGGGATTCAGG